TCATTTTCATATCTATTTTGCAACGTATGCTTTCGCTCCTCCTATTGTTCATTTAATGGCCGTATTATGCACGATGGTTGCACGCTCTCCTGCACTGTTTGACTGATGGTTTAGAGCAATTTTAAAGGATGCAATCTATTTTCTTTTTGCTTCATGTGAGTGCTCCAAATCGCATTGACCAGCTGTTTAAATTTCTCGGATTTCTGTTTTGAAACCGGTTCAGGAGAATGAATCTCAGCAGTTCCTTGTTATTTAACGCAAGAGAGCAGCTACTAACTGACTTGGTAAGAAAATACAGAACGAATCTGCACTGAAACACAAAATAATCCAGAACATTGTGTAATTGAGAGTTTGAAATGAGCATTGCTTTCTAAAAAAATTTAATATATTGTCCTGCATCCCTAAAAGTTGTTTTCTCTTTTCTTCAGTGTCTCACTCGCTGAATTTCCTTTTGTCCCTGACTTCAGGAGCTCGATGCAAACTGCTCTGCCTGCTGCTGAACAAAGCACAATAAGTGTCATGTGCAAGAAGATGGTGAATAACAAGCACAACAGCACAGTTCAAGAACAAGACAAAATTAATTTCTTCAACCAATTTGTTCTCACTGAGAGGCAGCACGACACTGGTGTAAACACACACTTTAATTACACCATGTTTACACAGTAGTTGAAGCATAGTTATTTAAAACAGACATGTATCTGTAGAGATGGTGATGACTGGTTAAATTAAAAGATTTTACTATAAACATTCACAATGTTTTTCATTTTTTTCTTACATTATTTTTTATTATTTTCAAATTATGTTAAAGTTGTCATTCATATATGTGGATTTTTTATTTTTACAAAATTCCATCAGTTACAATAACAAACATGTTCTCTGCAGCTGACAGAGTAAAGCAGAAATAATTCTAGCACTGAGGAAAATCCAAAATAGGACCTCGGGTTAGATCATATTTCAGTTTTTTCCCCCATGTAGACACAAAGAAAACCCAGCGATAAAACCTATAATAAATTGATAGTATAGACAGTCATGTTTAGCCTACAGTAGCTAGCTTTCCTCTGTGCTATAGACCATAACATGTTTCTTTTAATCCTATAAACAAAGCCACTGTGGTTTATGTTGAGTCAATCTCACACATCAACATTATCACAGTGCTGTAAATATTCACTAAACTAGAAGCTGTGTTTATTCTTGTTTGAGTAACTTGAACATGAAGAACCCAACTACTGAGTTTAAAAAACAGACAAAGAAATACTATTGACTTTGGTGTTTTGAATTGAGATTTGTTTGTAAAATAAGAATTCAGGATCAGGTCTAATAATAGCAGCTTTATCATTTTTTAAAGAGAAAGCTGTTGGTTTTGGTCCAAGCTGTAGATCACTGCAATAACATGTGTTCACCTTGTAGCGGTCAAAATCATCACTCAGCGTAAATCAGCAGGGAAAAGACGATTCAGCATGAGTGGGTAGTGAGATAACACAAGAAATAAGTATAATATGTTCTTCAACTATATTCAGGTTAGAGTCCACGTGATATAATGTAAAACTCAAAACGTATATTGTTTTGTTAGGGATTATTAATGTGTGTGTGTGTGTGTGTGTGTGTGTATGTGTGTGTGTGTGTGTGTGTGTGTGTGTGTCTCTCTCTCTCTCTCTCTCTCTCTCTCTCTCTCTCTCTCTCTCTCTCTCTCTCTCTCTCTCTCTCTCGATCCTTTTGATAAAACCTAAGGGTGTGACACTGTTTCAGTCTCACAGACAAATCATTTGTTGTTTTCTTTCTGTTTGTTGTCGGTATTTTAAAGACATCACATTGATTTTTTTTTTCTTCCTCCTCTTCTTTAAAAGTGTGTCCTAAGTAAGAATGCACTTCCTGTTTGACTTTGTCCTCCAGATGTCTCGGTGAACTCCAAATGCTCTCGAACGCTGTCTGGTACCATCATCCCTCTTCATCCCCGCTAACAATTAGGTAATGAAATATTGATTTCTAGTTAGATTCATATTGATGCTATTAGCTTTGCATTGATAAATCACCGATGCTGGAGCAGGAAGACATTACTGTGTGTTAATCTGATGGATAGTTCTTCTTCTTCCTTTCTCTCTCTACCTGTTCATTACGACCCTATTTTCGTTGTATTCAGGTCTTTCTTAGCTGTGACGTGAAGACTCTAGTGGATTCAGATGGAAAGTTTAAAAGCAATTTTAATATTAATTTCAACATGTAAAGGAGAGACACAATGCATCATGGGAGAGAAAATCTTCTCTTCAAAACATAGAATAATCCTTAAATATTTACATTTTCTTGCTAATAAATAGAACATGAGAATAGAATTTTAAAACTGGCAAATAACACTTGGGGGATATTTGTATTCAGAGTATCTTACAGTACAATGATGCATGTCTGACCCTGCTAACTTTAATGCCATGTTCTAACACTTTTGGGATGTAGTGGAAATCTCTATCACACACTGTGGCTGCAGGGAAATCTCCTTATCACCAGTGTCCGACTGTCTGAGGCGGCGCTCACTATTTCAGCCCACTGTCTAGTCATGACCGTCACAGTGGCGTCTCAGTATCTGAAACTGAGACGCTGCAATTCACACTTTGGAGACTTGAAAGGAATTTAAATGTGATTTTATTTGGAAGTGTGCTCGTGGCATCTTAATACAAATCTGTGTCATGCCTGAATGATTTCCACCTACTAAATGTACTTGGTTGCACTCCACCACAGGGCAGAGCTGTAGCCCATAAAACTTAAAAAAAATTTAAGATTTTTTGATTTATTTATTTATTTATTTCATCATTTCCTTTGTTATCCTCCCACATTATTGTCTGGTGTGTAAATCCCTCTAACTTCACTGTCTTCATCTTGACGTGAAGCTATCATAAACCAAACATCAACTTGAATTCTAACCTTAAACCACCCAGAATAGTTACTTTACTGTCTTAAGTTCAGAATGGTTCTTATAAGGACAGCAGAGCAACACACTCCTGACAGCTGTCACTCCAATCGGCCACCAGTCCGTCTCTCCTCTCTGCTCGACAACAGCGCGGCGTTTCCCTGTCAGACAACATATGCCACAGCGTTTGTGCAGCTCCGAGCGGCCTGACATTATCTACTCTCAGGCCCCGTGGCCGGCACCAACCCTCAGCCCTCTTGCTGTTGGCAATGCGAACATGATCTCTGATGTCTCTCCGGCAGCTAACTGATGCTGTCACTGCACCAAGATATAACACAACCCTGCTGACAAACACATTGTGACAAGGACATACAGGCACACCAGCGTGTACACAGACACACACATGCACGGTGGCACAAGTGCTCATGTGTCGTCGATGTGCCAGACGACAGCAGCTGAGAGTACAACCTTTATTCAGTATTTATTTTCTCCTCCGGCGTCCACCAACCAGATAAGGTCAGCTGCGCATATGTTGACCGTCACGAAATATATTAGAATTCAAATGATTTTCCGCGACTCTGTGACTTATTATGTTTTTGTCCATAAGGTCAACGTTACACATTTGACACGTTTAAAACGCTAAAATGCTAAAAGTTTCCAGTGGATTCAGTTCGGCCTCGAGTTTGAGATGTAGCAGTTCTGACGTCTCAATCAAGCCTGCAGGCACAGAACTGTCTGGTGATGGAGGAGAATAAGGCCTCATCTATAATTTGAAGCTTTGTCTTTGTGCTTTGACAAGTCTATAGAGGGAGTTTTAGGGCAAACACGCTGATGGGTTAGTGGTAAAGAATGAAATGGCACAAGAAATATAATGTCACATGTAGCAGTAATATAGACGGTGAGCGATTTAAGCAAGAGGGGCGGAATTTGTTATAAAGCAGATCGCATACATTTGTAGATATTGACTTCCACCTGCTGGTAGAAGTGGTAAACTGCAGCAAGAAAAAAGGCCCAATTCAGCTCTGTTGATTTTACAGAATTAACTGTG